TGGAGTGGAAATTAATTTTGAGGCTAAAAATACATCACTAATAAAACACCAAAAAAGGCTCAGATAAGGTTCTCCAAATCCTGAAGGCCTCAAGACTGCTTAAAGAGTTAGGAAGAATTAAACTCTGGCTGTAGAAATTAAAACATCTGAAACCATTTACAAGAACTGAGCAAGCTCAGATGCTAACTCAATTTGCAGCATTAGAACATCACCAAGAAATGCTGAACATGTGGTGTGCTTAGAAGGGAGCCCCACTGGACACCAGTGGCAGTGCATGATGTTTGCCATGCCAGTAAAAGGTTCTTAAAAATACTTCCACTTGCAAGCAGACACAGCAGGAACACAAGGGATCATGCTACCCCAGAAACGTTCACGCATACAGCACAACACAAATACTTGGAACTAGACAGAAGTGATACTAACTTGGCAGCAGTGTTGGTTATGACCTAAAAGAAGAGAAAGAGAACAAACAACATCAAAACCAACCAGAAAAAGTCAATTGTTTTTAGAGTGCAAAAGGTATTTACAGAAGCTTACTAAAGCTTTTTCAGACCATCCACAAATAAGAACAAAAAGTAAATGCATGCCTGAAAACCCCAACATGATTAAGAAAGGAAAAAATACAGGGATTATATAGTTGATCCACTGGGACTTAGTAGGGTACCATGGCATTTTGGCTGACCCTTGAACATTATTTTATTGCCATGCATCCTTAAAAGTACTATTCTCAAAGTGTATGGGGAGAGGGAGCAAAGGGAACAAAGAAGCACTTGTTGAGCAAATTATCATTTGAAAATATCAAATGAGTGGTCAGATATTACATATTCAGGGTTGAAATCTTCTCCTGAGGCCACCTTCAAAGTTGGTATTGCAAGATTGACGTTTTTGTCTTTTAAATGCTGGAGAATATCCAAAGAATATATTGGTGAGTGTTTAAAACCTAAAACTAAGGAAAACACCTTTGTATTTAACAAACTATTGGCCTAAATCTGACTTTACCTACATTACGCCAACAGTGGTGCAAGCTGATTAATTTCAGAAGAGTCATTTCTAATTTATTCCGTGTGAAAGGAAGCAAGTCTATGCATTCTGTGTTTTTTTGGATACCCGTATCAGGATATTTTATTCCATCTGGTACGTACACAGTATGAAGAAAATCATATGTTTAAGCTTCACTGCATGAACAAGAAGTGAGGGTGGCTTGCACAGCAATTCCAAAGAAACCTAATACAAAACTCAACATAGGCCTTACTCAGGCCAAAGCTGGGAGTGATGAACAGCTAGCATGCTCAGACTGTTGCATTACATTATTTGCCAATAACTCTTTCTTTTGGTTGCACAAATAGCATTAACGGGCTATGACACTGACTTTAACTTAGTTTTCTCAGAGCTTAGAATACCTGTATTTTGCTCATATTCTTGGGTAAAGAGTAATTCATTGTATTTTGCACAAATTAAAGAGGAAGAGAGTCCAGCATCAGTTAATAAACATTTCTTCTTATTTAGCTGCACAGAATGCTGTTGATAGAACTGGGCACTGAATCTTCCAACTTACTGCTGTAACATTTCTGGATCTGGGATTGATACGAAATACTGGACAACAATGTCATACTGTTAAGAGTGACATTTAAAGTGGATTTGTCTCCTTCTGCTTTGGCCTTACAGAACCTTTAATATTACTGCTTCTTTCTACATAAAGTCCTTTTGCACTAGCTCATCCAGCTGCCTCTTCCATGATGTAAAACACTCTAATGAGCCAAAGCTGCAGTACAGGCTTTGCACTTCTGCATTCCCATGGAAAAGCAACCACAGACTCTAGGATTCGTGAATGTTGTAACTTTATAAACCCTACATTAAGCCAAATATATCAGTCTGTCCCAGGGGCCAGGAGAGATATATTAGGAACAAGCTGCAGCCTGTAAGCACATCAGTGATCCTATATCCATTTTAGGTATGTGCAGGACAGCTGGGCACTCATTTACAATGAAACATAGTGTAATAGTATCATTTTCTGAAGTGGACTCCATGCCTGCTTTAATCTTCTAATCCAGGTTCTATTAGTCTAAAATAATACTTTAAGGGTAGAACTTCCTTAATTAAAGGAACCACTTTTTTGCATATATGTTCTTATAATGATATAATGATAAAAATCATTATGTGCACACACTAAGAACAGCTCGAAAAATTTACTAAAAATCTCAGTAAAGATTTTTCTAGATGTGAAGAGGCTACTATCGCTTCCTTCAGAAAGAGTAAAGCTTTACTTCTCCTTATGTTCAGTACATGATGAGAAAATTCGCTCCAGTTCAGAGCCACACATTATTTTAGCTTGATTCTAAATAGGACATGTATGAAACACCCAACTTGCTGCTCTCAGAGGTCACACAGTCAGAATCTAGTAACCCAAGCCACCCAGCACATACTTGTGGGACAGGTATTTACTGCCCTTGACCTACAATGTGAAAAATAACTTACACTGGAATGAAAAAGAACCACGTTACAAGCTATTACTCACTCTTCGTATTTATTAATACTCCCTTTTCCAGGGCTTTCAGCACATCAGGTTCCGCACGCTTAACAGGCCACATCTGTTTTTCACCCTGTGCCAGGGTGATAAAGCTTTAGTGTAAAACTGCATCAGAGAATCAGATACTTTGTTATTCTTCTTCACAGATCAAGGAAATAATCTCAAAATTTATTTTACCTTTCTGATAGGATTTTCCAAAGGGTTTAGCTAAGCTTCTAACAGCAATTCACACAATAAAGTTTAAATGATTTGGTGAAAAGGACACCAAATTGGAATATAAAATATCCTTTAAGATCAACCCCAGACCTGAATTTGCTTATAGTGCCAAGTGCATGTTCACGAATGCATAAGAGATTTGGAGCACCATAATTTCACTATCTGTATGCAGCATCTCATGTTGTACTATATGATAAAAACATCCACAACAAAGGGCAGAGATGATTCTGCAGAGCGCACAGTGCTTTCCTTGTGCACTCTTCCATGTATATCCATAATGAGATCAATACTATCATGGATGATACCAAGTCCCAGGGTAGTTACACGTTCCAGGTTACTCTTTAAAAAGCAGTGAGGAAGATGCCTCTAACTTCATTGGTAACACTCAAGTGGGAGCAGGAATGACAGGATTCTTGAACTCTGAATTTTCTCTGCATGTAAACAGAGATGTACAATTCTCTAACTCTCAGAGGAATTGTCTGAAAAGACACATGTACTTTGTAGCTCTGGGCCCTTTCATGTTTTCAGAATGTTTCTGGGCTGCAGGATAAAGGCTGATTTTTTTTTTTTTTATGGAACAGTTACATGATCTCTCATAAATTTTCTGATTTGTTCATTGGTGCTGCAGATACTACAGGCAGACAGACAGCGACTCCCTGCAATTTTGATCAAAATAAAATATATCTCAGATTTATTCTAAGGTAGACCCTTGCTTTGTAATGCAGTGCACTGCCACAAACATGCACTAACGTGTACGTGTAAAGGAGACATAAACCATGGAAAAGCAGCAAAGTGAAGACAGTGAAGTGTTTTCTGCAGGTTCACCTTTTATGCACCCCAGCAATCACTGTCATATTAATGTCGTCCAATCACAATGCCCTCTGGAATCAAGAGAATGGATGCAGCTGTGTTGTAATTTTGGTAACACAGACAGTCAGAATGCTGAGCCACCCAAAATATAGCCCCTTCACCCTTGCCCTTGCAGATGTTAAGGAGATATGTGAAGATAGTGCAAGAAAGATAGTGAGATATACTCCCCGGAAACTCTGCATATTGAAATATGTCATTTTCCTCAAGCAAACTGTAAATTAACAAGGAAGCATTCTGAGGTTTATTTTGCTGATCTTGCTTACTAACTGAAATGATTTTCTTTTAAACACTAATTGCTTTTCTTAATTACCCAGTATAAGAAAGGAGGATAGGATTTTTTCAGATAAGTTAATTAAGACTGTTAATGCCAAGCGCTCAAGAGAGTTTCAACAAATCATCTAAACTGCCTGAATCATCGAGAACATGATATACGCTCTGTAATAAGGATAAAATAGCCTTACTTCACTACAACTTAACAACCCCCTAGTTTTACTCTTGCAAAGAGCTTCTGCAGTGGAATGTAACATACCTGAATATATGCATTTGCTATCAGACCTCAAGTGGATTGTCTGAATTTCCTGTTTTTTCTTATACAGCCAAGTCCCTAGTACACTCTTCCCCATATTATAATGAGAAATTTATCTTTATTTTAAATAAACCCAAATAAACAAATTAGAGATTTGTTTGCAAATTAATACATGAAGACAGGAAAAACAGGAAAACTGTTTCACTCTGCTTTTTCTCACATGTTGTAGTTCCAGCTCCCCACTTCACAAATCTACTAGTTGATCTGCAACAGAGTTAACACTGAAAACTTTGACAGCATGGGATCAAACTACCTTGGTAGCACCTAGAAATCATTCCTTGTTTCATACAAGAGTAAAGCTAACAGATGTGAGACCGACAAGGTTCAGACCAGAGGATCCAAAATACTGCAATTTTGACTCATTTTGCATAGGAAGGCAAGAATTACAGCAGACACGCCAGCTGACTAGCATGTCAGATTTGCAGTTTCTCTTTAGGAAAGTACTAAAGATCAGATCTGTCTTATAGCAGCTTCTATAATGGCCAGCAGTGATAGCTGGTTCTACGAGACTACATGCATTAGTTTAAATCGCTAAATGCCAACCCTGAGATGAGTCATAGCATTCTCCTCATGCTCTGGTGACTATTGCCAATCCATATTGCAATTCAATTACCAAAGACCAAGAGTTATTCTGTAATGGTACTGTGTGTATGTTTTCGGGGGTACTGGAAATTGCAGTGATCGTTCCAGATTTTAATCATGATTACCAGACAGATACACAATAGGGTAGGTACTATTACATTCATTTTTCAGCAAATTCATTACTTATTTTAATATTAAATATTTTACCACATTACCTACCCTCTAGGAAGTCCACCTTCCGAAGCCCTTCGGTTGAGACTTAATTTATGCATCTCAGCCATTTCCCTTAGAGTCTCTGCTGAGTAAAGGCCAATAGGGTTGTTATACTGCCTTGCAGGGCTCATCTGGTGTACAGGACTATTGCCATCAGTCAATACAGGGCTTAGCTTTGAACCTAGATTACTCTTTGCAGGTGAAATGTCAGGAGTCACAGACTGAGAGGACACGGAAGATCTAACTGTGGTAGTCTTTAAGTAGGAAGAGCTATTTGAAAAGCTGATCTCTTGCTTGTTGAGGTAGCCTGAAAACGTTCCATTGGTTGCTAAAATACTACCCACAGGCCCAGTCGCCGTGTTAGTTAGAGGACTGAAGGTTGTTCTGTTGCCATTGATTTCCCAAGCAGGTTCCTGTAGTAGCAAACATGCAAGCCAAGAAAAGAAAAAAAGAAAACAGCAATCATAGAACACATGCAAAAATAACATATCTGCAATTAATGCTTTCTAAACATATTGATAAGCTTGCAATAAATAGATTGGAGTCAAAGCACCCAACCTTTCAGGGAAGATTTAAACAACGGAAGGCATTGTTTCAAAATAAGGGAAGCAAAACATACTCAGGCATTTTTTTAACTGGGTTTTAGTTGAAACCAACAAATAAAGCTTAACATTAAAAGAGCATTTGCTACTTGTCAACCTCATAGCAATAGTTTTATATAAAGACAACACTGATCACTAACTGCCAGGATAATTAAGAAATCTTCAAGTCTTGAGGTCAGAATCATTTGAGATAGTATACAAACATAAAAGTCAATGCCATTATTATAAAAAACATGATTGTAAACCACACCATTCTATTTTCCATGAGTACATTTCAAGTTACTGAAGCCCACACACTGCATTGCTTTCATAGGCTCTGGTTCATGCTAATTAGGCCATGCAGCATGGTTAGCAGATAGACCAACAGGACTCGACAACAGGTACTGTTCAACAGACAGGATGCCTCTATTCTGATCATTTCTGCGTAATTTTCACCTGAAGGAATATGTGCATGAGTATGTAGATGATGAGTGTATGATCCCACAGTCATGTCCCAGATAATATTCCTAACTAGGACAGCAGGATGTATTGTCTTAGTGGAAGTCACCGGAATCTCCCACAATAGCTGTACCCATAGAAGTCTATGCTGGTGCTCAGATTAGAAACATTCTACCAAAACCCTATGCTGGAAAAATGAAGTAGTATGCTTTAGTTTCATAAATGATTTGCTATTAATGCAGCTTTGTGAAACCAAAATAAAAGGTAATTATCAAAAAAAGAGAAATACTGCCTTTTCAGCAACACAAGGCAGGAAATAAGTTGTGGCACGAGTTCTGAGGAAGTTCATGTAAAACTTCAATATTCACGTTGCCTAAAACACCCTATCACTGCTTCAACTCCTTACGGTGCAACACCATCTAAATCCCTAGGACTGGAGGGCACTCAACGCTCTGTGGAAGCACAGAGCTCCCTTATGGTTAAATTGCCTCATTTCACTCCAGCTACTGGCAGCATGTAGTAACCACAGCTCTGTACTTTTTGGAAGTATGGACAATTTTCTCAAAGAGGAATGCAAACTTCACTTTCAGGTGAGCATTTTATTCCTTTACTCTCAGTTATCTTATTCTTTAATGTCTAAAGGTTCAGTGACCGGAACATGAATAGCATGATTCTAACACTGATTAACATCTCTCTAATGACTGCATTTTGAACATAGCATCCTGAGTGGGGAAACTCATTAGCACATGTTTTAAAATAATGAATCTTATGGTTTCAAAAGCTGTTTCATTTTTCACTGCTGTTTGCCTGTAATTACATGTTTTGGGTGAAAAATACAATCAACAGCTGAGGTACCCAATAAACTATGTGAATGCTTGGCAATTTCTCTAGAGCTATAATATCAATTTGTAATTTATCTCAGAAGCTCCTGGCTCCAGCCTAACTTGGGCTTTTTTGCTACAGGAGAAAGATCACTTCAACCTCTCCCTCTGGACCTAGATTACACTGCAGCCATAACTGGTACCCAGATGCCACAATGCACACTCACAGTTAAGAGGTCCCCCAGTAATGCTGGCAGCATGCTGCAGTCCAGCTCTGGAGAACAGGGACAGTCAGGGGATGTTATCCTGAAGAAGAGCAATACAAGAGCAGGCGGTGGCCTGCAGTGACATTTTGCCTCCTTTGTGCTGGCAACTGCTTCAATCACCATCTTTAACATCTTACACACATGTCCCCCATAGCCTTGCAGGAAACATAGGCCTAAGAGAATAATTTGGCCTCTGATTTTCTACTTTAGCTAGTATTGGTTATTTACTGATATTGATACTAAGGATCACTAGAAAGAGAAATATTTTATATTTTTCTTTTGGCTTTTTCTATATTGCATATTTAAATTTAGGGAGATTACATTTGAAAATTACAGATAATACTGCCAGATTAATTAAAATTAATTGAAAAAAAAACCTAAATGTCTAAGGATGCAATTAATCATGACATTAAATACATTTGTTTTGAATCGAAAATGTAAGGCAGATAAAATGAATTGAGAACATTTTTCTTAGGAATAAACAGGAAGAGATTTTAACTGGCATTAATAGCTGCCTGAGGCTGTAGAAATAGATAATCCTAAAAGGATTTTACAGACTATGCCTTCTTAAATAAATACATTTGAATTACATACTTCAGTCATTATACTCTGACATCAACACCAGCAAATAACCAACCATTAAGTGGCCTACTACAAGCTTCCAAGTATTAAACAAACAGAAAACAGGGATTCTCTCTAAAAATATGTTGTAAAAGTGGCACGAATGCACAAGGGCATGTTCATAAATTAAGCCATCACTTGTGCAAATGACTTTTACATGCTAGCAGGGAGGGACAAACCAAATATTTAATAAAAAATAAAATACAGAGGCAATAGAGAAGAAAAAGGATATGCAACAGTTATACTTTGTTGCCCTGAGAAGTCTGTGGCTTTTATCTAAGTTAACTGTGGGTTCCTTTTCCATACCCCTTAATAAGAGGACTTGCAAGGGGATCTGATTTTAAAGTATCAGTTTTGACTTCTAATGAGATGAATGCCAGGTATTTCCTTAATCCTAATGCATTTTCATAGTTTTGGTAGTACTGGACACTAACAGTAGGCAAAGGGAAAAATACAGGACTACCATAAAAAAAAGACTTTGCTCACCTTTATGGCATGAGTGGAATTTTAGTTTCACTGCTTAAACAATTTCTAGTTGTAATACCAGCACGCTGACAACTCAACACTAGAATTCCCAGGAACCCAGCAGCGCCAGGTTAGCATTCTCCATTTTGAGTTAATATTCATGGTAGCTTTAAGGTAGTTGCTTTTGCTGTGTTCAGGGGGAAAGGGATCAAACAGGAACTGCTCAGACAGCAGCTGTATAATGTCTGCTAAAGATTCACTACCCAATAATCATCTTATTTACCTCTTCCCTTTTGTGATTGTCAAAGACTCTCTCATTCAGTTTATTCCTAGTGGATATTTTAGGATTATTTTCCTTTCCTCCAGTTCAGTGGCAAAAACAGATCAATGCAGCACTTCTGAACTCATTTCTGAATGTGAAGGTCAAATCTCTAATACTGATCAGCAGCACGGCTTTTAGCATTACATCACATGAAATGCAGCCAACAGCAACAAACGTTCCCCTGCTTCACAACTCTCTTATCCCGTTCTGTTGCGCTCTCTGCGGCTGGAAAAGCAAGCTAACATTTCGAACTATGCAAGTCTGACGCTACCCTTCGGCCGACCAGAAGAGGGGGCTCTGACACTGAGCAATGGGATTCTTCCCTCGAGAAGGATGCTGAGATCTACAGCAATCCCTCACTACGAGGGGAAAATTGCATTTTAATGTCCCACTGTAAAGTCAGTGAATGAGCTCAAAAACTGATAAATGAAGTCTCAGACTGTTGCCTTTCCGAAATATTATTATTCTTTTCTTTATAAACATTCAGTTTCCATGAAAGGCAAATGCTCCTTATGTATCAGGGAAGAGAGAAACAAATTCATATTGGAAAACACACCACCAGTTTTTCAGCTCCTCTTCCTTTAGCAGCCCATGCTCTATTTATCTATGACCGTACAGTCTTTATTCATTTCTAATGAATAATGAATAATGCTATACTAATGAATTTGACCTCCCAACATGCCAAATTATTACCTTAAAAGTTTTACAGAAAGAAGGAAATGGTGGCACCATGACATTAAATGACTGCACAAAGACATCCAACAAACAGCTTTTAGCTCAGCCAGCTCTTCCATCCTATGCTTCACTTAAAAAGTCAGTCACTCCTTCATCTCTTTTCTCTTAACCACATAGATTCCCAAATTTGTCAGGAAACAAGTCATAAGCATCGTGAGATCCTCACTGGGTCTCTGGAATAACTGTGTTCAGTATTGTTCCATAAACAGGACAACACAGAGTCATATCTTTAAAATTAAAGAGGCTGCCTTGATACCTTTATGTAAAAGGACAAATGTTAAAGCTATGCTCAGCTGTATAGCTTCTGCTTGACCAAGTTTTGTTCCCTCTGAAAAGCTTCAGGAATTCACCAAGGCTTTGTTTCAAGCCTTGGAATCACGCTGACTCTTCTTGTTACTTGAGTGCTTTCAGCATTAGTTATACCCCTTCTTCCAGCTACGCCACACCTATGCAAAAGACTTGACTAAATGTTTTGACTAAACCCAAAAGATTTAACTAGACTGAATTAAAACTGTTTCAAGTTTGAGACTAATGTCAGCTAAGGAAATAGTGAAACTGCAAATCATTCCAGTAACAGCCCCACAGCTCATTAACGCCATACCTAGGGTTGTAGAACCTGTATCATCCATAATATTGATCAGCTCAAGGAAGTATGGAGAGAATGGAATGAAATGGAAAGGAATGTCAAAAAAAATAAAATAAAAAAATCATGGTGAAGAACTCTGTGGTTTTTCTACCTTCCTTGCATGTTTCTAAAATAATGTATGCTTCGTTTTCTAAGACACAAAGAACCATAACCATAGCAGTCAAAGAAGACATACATGCTTGAAAATTAGTGGAAGCTGCAACTGGATCAGCACAATGTACAAGAAAATTTATGGTTTAAACTAGATACTGAACTTGCACATGCAGATTTTTTTAGCTAACACTGCCATGCCTTAACCTTGACTCAGAGCAAAGTGAGAAAAACTTCTCTTGATGTTTGAGGACAACACTGTCCTGACTGTCTTGTAATGTGGTTTTTTGCCCTTTTTTGAAATGCAATCAATTTCATTTCATGTGACCTGTGAGAGTCTAAACACTGTCAAGCAGTGATGTGGAGGTGACAGCTTCTGCCTATGTGACACGGAATTCTTCATTTCTACAGTGATACTGTTATTAGAAATAACAAAGGGACAAACACAGAAACCTTGATTTTTAAAGTATATTTACTGTAACATACCTTATTGCAACATTCCCAGAGCACTGTCTGTATCAGTAAAGACTTTATATTCCAGATTTTGAGATTTACCCAGTGATTCAATGCTTCATACCCTTCCAAACCACCCTCAAGGAAGAATTTTTCTTCAATTAAAAATTGACTGTTGTCTACTAGCGTATATTAGTGACATAAATGTCACTCCAACATTCTACTGCTACCTATTCCTCCTGGGCCAAAGACCCTGCACTTAAGACTTTTCTTAATACTGCTACTCTGTTTCCCACCATACCTTGTCCTAGATACCACTGTTTTCCTCCAGAAGGGCTCCAGTAAATCTCTTTTCCATTGCAAGTACTACCTGTAGCCCATTCAGAATAGGTGGCCTCCATGTTCCAACTCAGACCACCCTACGGTTCTGTGATTCCTAAACACTGATGCACACGATTCTCAAGTGTGAGAAAACATGCTCCTGAAAAAAACGTTGAGTTCCTTAATCCTCATCTCTCTCTGAAGGGTTAAAATAAGACATGTAAAGTGACTTTACAGCTTTCATGCCAAAGGCGCTTTTAGGACCTTTAGAAAAAAACCTGCAGTGAGTGAAATTAACTTTTCTATAGGGTAGGTAGTTAAGGGAGAAAACTGTTTTGTGTGGTAAACAGCTTTAAATACATATGGCAGTAATTTTAAAATTGACACTTGCCAGGGAAGAAATGCACCCGATCGATAGAGAGTCATGAAAATCTCATGTTGTAGAAACCTGTGTCCCTGTGGTGGAAGTAGAGTAATTGTCATACCCGCACAGGTGCTACTGAGGGTCTCAAAAGATAACTGTCAGTCTTGTGCTGGTGAATTACTCTGAATAAACATGTCTACTTGTTGCATTGAAAACTAACAGCATTCTGTGTAGTTCGTGAGGGAAAATAAGTACTCTCTCCCCCTTCCGCTATCTATTACTTTGCTGGTGCAGCTGAACTCCAGTCTAACTGGAAGAATGATCCGTTGTTTTTCTTCTAGGAACTTCAAAGTACTGTTTGGTGACTCTTCCAGTAACTTTCTCCAAGCTAACTTTTATAAAATCAAGATAGAAGGAGGAACAACTCTGAGCAAGATCAATTCTAAATTTCATTTCCTCTGGACAAAAAGTTTACTAGGTCCAGAGGAAAAAAAAATATTATTTCTTCCTCAACTAATAAACAGCCAGACAGGTTCATTTCAAATTTGAGAGAATAAAACTGAATCAAATTTATCTGCCCAAGTGTGTTCTCTTCTGTTATTTTGCCCAAATTTGCAAACTTGGTTACAGGGATGATGTTATCTTCTGAGCTTTGAATGTGGAAAACACGTTTTTCATGAAAATAACTTAAAATTGTATCTATGGAAGTCAGAACTGCCAAAACTAGTAGAACATCACCTAATTCCCCATGTATTTTGATCTTCAGTATTTCTTATTTACACAACATGTTAGGGATGACACTGGCATTCACAGAAGGGATAAAGTTGCAGAAATGGAGATTTCCCCCTCTCCATTTATCTAATTAAATGCATCAGCAATAGAAATGTCTTACGCAGTGCTTGAGCCTAAGGATACATAACATCTTTCAGGTACCCTTGCTCCCCAGTGCCGCCCAAAGATACAGATGATGAGTTACCAGGTGCAGTCAATGAATGCTATTTATTCTGATACAAACATTTATTTTATGGAAGATGACAAGATTTGACAACAGAAACCAAGGCATCCAGTTCCTCTGCCACCGTTATTCATTAAATTGACTTATCCTCTTTATTTTTTATTCCCGTGTCTTTTGAATAATGTGACAAGAATACAATATGATGCAAGCTTCCAAATGCCTTAATGTTCTCATTCCAAATCAGCATCTTTCCAGTTGTAGTCAGGACTTCAACACGCTCAGGTACAGTCTAATGTTTTTTTCCCCAAGAATCTGCAAAAGCAAATTTTGAGAAGCTTTGGTAGCCTCTTGCAGCCCAGATGAAAACAAGCTGCTCAGAATGGATTAGACCAGATAACTTCAGAGGACAGCTGGATGCTTTGTTTCTGCTAATAAGAAATTAACAACATACAGATCACACTGCATTATGACAGCTTTGCTGACTGTGCATTCATTCAATGCTTACTTATTTGGGGTGGGCAAAAGCTATTTCCTGTAGTAAGTATTTACCTTCACCATGGCGGATAAAAATGGTATCAACTTTGGCTGAAGAGAAATTGTCACATACCTTCTGGTGGGGAATTACAGCCTTGGGAGTATCAATTCTGGGTGCTGTGGTTGAAATTGGCACTGGACGTTTAGATCTAGGGATAACCCCCCCAAAAAAAAAAGAAAAAAAAAAAAATAAAAAATAGGTTAGCAATCTGGACTCCTATTTTTCAGCTCTCATTTAATGCAAAATAATGAAAAGCCACCAGCTAAAGAAGCACTCTCTGATGCAGGAGATAATCCCTTTTCCAGTTCCCTGTGACAAACTGCATCTTCTTAGATGACACTCAGCCACAACTAGATAAATATAGGTTTGGGTAGTATTCTGGAAAAAAGGACTTTCAAAATGCAGAGACTAAACTTTGGTACTGAGGCATCTCAAGATCAACTCCTCAAAAGTTTATTATTTAAATAGCTTAGGTTGTATAGCAATTGCCGTAAGTTAAACCTCTCTGCAGGAAGAAACTGAGCTTCATTTCAGACAGTTTAGTATAGTTTTAAAAAGGAGCAGATCACTACTGAATTAATAACATTCCACTCCAAATGCCTGCCCTTCACCTGTATTTGACAAATATACATACACAAGCATTTAAAAACCAAAAACTAACTCAACTAAAATGCTTTCAAAACACACAGCTTGCCCTTTCATTGGAACATAACATAGAAAGCACAGAGATAAATCCTGACTGAAGCACTCTAGGATGCTCAGGTAAGTGAAGATACATTTCTGGGAGGTGTTGCGAGAAGCTACATAGCTCTGAACATCCCCCTGAAGCCTTTCCAGTACACATGGGATCACCAGAGAAAATGAAATGAAAAATGCAAAAATAGTTAAACAGAAGAATCAGAATTATGTAAGTAATATCCTATTGTCAACCTACAGATCAGGATTATGCCTAGAATTCTCACCTTTCAAAGTACATTTCAAAATTAGGGCAGGTACCAAACCAAAATACAAATTCTTAAAAGCATGCAAAATCAAGTGGAAGTGACTGAGGCATTCAGAGTTGTTTGCTTTAGAGAGATGAGTAAGGGAAGACAATACCAAGGTTTAGAAAATAATGAATGGCAGAAAAGGGGAAGTAGAGCTACGTTCCTGGACATTCAGTGAAATTAAAAAGACAACACACGTAAAATTGATAAAGGCAAAAACTTTTTCCTAGAGTACTTGATTAACCCGAAGTGAAACTGTTACAAGACACCACTGAGACTATGAGAACAGCAGGATATTAGAAAGGATTAGATATTTACACTTGCAAGAAAAAGGCCAACAGCTGCTGTACCTTGGGTAAAAATAAGTAGCCATACAGACACTCATTTGTTATGGCACAACTTAGAAGACCAGTAGTGGAAGAGCATTATTTCCTTACTGAAGGCTGTATTGTACTTTCCTTTGAAATACTTCCCAGTGGCATCTATCAGATATAAAGCTAAGCTAGACAAAAACTGGGCTCATCCGTAGTGGCAATCCCTGCATTAATACCTAGCTCCACACTGAGCTGTGTGTTTAGCTTTAGCTGCCACATCCGTAATATTTCCATAAGCAAGAGTAAACAAACAAACAAACAAAAAACTAGGAAAAAGGAGTAATCCTTACAGGAACTGTGTGATTTCCATATAGAAAATATAGAAGTTACACTACTTTGAGAGCTGAAAACAGCTGATGCAATAGATGCTTACCTCATAATGAGATACTGTGGAGCAATGAAAACTGGAGTTTTGTTTAACAACAGATAATTATCCTATGAAATTCACTGACAGAGTATTCCTGAAGCAAGAAGCTAGAAAACTGTAAAAGGCACTAATGCTGATATTCACAGCTGGAATCTATCACAATATACTCCCTAAGATATAATTATCTGAGAAACATACACCTTTAAGTTCTAAGAACAAGAGTTAACCACTAACTGCCTAGAACAAAATTTCGTCAGGCACGTTACCGACTGATCTTCACTCAGGAGAGAGTGCTGTACCCTTCCTCCAACCATTTCAGCTTAAAAAGAGAAACAATAAATTATATTCATGCACATGTATCATGAAAGACAGCAAAAAAATAAAAAGAAAACAATCAGCTGCACTCCAGAACAAAATCAGAATTGCCACAAACTGACTGGTGATTTATGAACAAAGATGTAAGCGGAGATTCTGATCGTCCTTCCACTGGTGTCATTTCTGGGTACACCCAGTTATTTCTCTGAAGTTACATGGGTGAACCTGGGCAAACTCAAGACCGGAGCTGTGCAGAGTACACATTAAGTGTACCCCTTGCTCTGCTCACTGATTATGAATTTTAGTGCCAAAGTTGCTCAGCACTGTAAATGTCGCTTGTCATGTACAGAGGTATAGCAAACAACCACATACTGCATGTTTGACTCATATTTGGAAAACACTGGTATTGCAGCACAGGAATTTATTTACCAAACTACTCCATCACTTCTGTTGTTTATTGTATGTCTGTTTTCTATCACTCATTACCTGACAGGAGAAGATGATGTTAAAAAGCTGTATTTCTTCCACATTACTGATAAGCTACATCTGTCATTCATAGTGCTATCCAACCAAGATATTTATTTCACACTGACTCTGAGGTTTCAAGATGCTACTTTAAAATAATGAGTTTCCTACATAACTCAGCCCTGCATATTTACAGCTTTGAGATTTAAAAACAGAATGATGAGACTTGCTAGATTTAGCAGAGTCTTGAAACAGCGAAAAGGGCAGAAGAGGTGAAGTCAATTTGTGGAGTGAAAGTGTATGCACTTACAGAATAAAGTGATTATTTACATAAAGGCCATTACTCCTCTGGGAAAAGTATCTGCAAGTTCAGGTCAATTTTTTCCTCCCTCTTTTGCTAGATGCAACACAAGTTTGCTTTTCAGCTGATGATGGTGCTGTTGTAAATGTGTGTGTCCAGATCTACATCTTAATCCATTGATTACAAAATTATTTTATTCCAAACCTTCAGGGAATGCATTTGCTTAGCAGGGCTATGAGGAAGATGAAAGTCCAAATCTCACAAACAACAGTGACAATTTTAGATTTGATATTGAAATGTTCCATCAAGATTTGTTTTGTCATTGCAATTGGATTTCAACTGTTAGACATTTTCTCCGATATTTTCAAAGTAAAAAATAGAAGCAAAAACCTCATTTAAAAATGAAAACTCAGAACAGTTTTAATGATGAACAAATACATTGTTCTGGTATTAATTCTCCTCCTTTCCACAGATATACCTTCCCTCTTTCTCAACACTGGTTCTCTTTCTTAGTGATGTTCCAAACCAAGATAGATGTAGTTTTGCAAAGCAGATCAATTTGACAGCACTGCTGATATGGCTGTCAAAATTTCTACTTATTCCCACCTATATAAATATACCTTGACTTGAAGAGCACTTCAATCCTGGTAGCTACACTCACAACAGAGGTTCATTTGAAGTCAACTGCATCAAGAGGAGCTGCATGTCCCAGGAAGGGCTGCAAGAAAGTTCTGTAATGCACTATCAGTTTAACCCATGTCTCAGGGGAGCACAATACTGTACTTGCAGAGAGGTAACATGATCTAAGAGATAACAGCTCTCTTCCATCTTCGTGTGGCTTTTTCATATTTTGTTTCTTCATCAGTCAGTGTCTTTCTAATTCTCAGGACAGCTAAAATAAGCATTTCTTCTCTTACATTAAGATTTTCCTTTCATTTTAATACATATGAGCACTTATTTAGACCTTGTTGAGCATCTTAATAATGTTATCTTAATATTTCAACCACTAGAAAATGAAATTACTTGTCACCTAATTGAAACCAAGTCATTCTGGAGTGGAGCAGGTAAGCACATAGCAGGATGCAAAACAACAGAGCATGTAGAATTGGGCTTTTGCTATGTATCTATTTTAATGCAATAGTATCCCTGACCATTTGGCAGAGGTGATGGGGGTAAGAGGCATAGAAGGGACAGACTAAATATTACACATGGTTATCAATTTGAGGTGTCCATTTAATAAGATCAGTAATCTGTCACTTAAATCTTCAGTGAATTAAGTAGCCAAACAGAAGCTGCTTCTTGTTTGTAAGTCTTGCACAGAAAATCTTGAGACTTGTGATACCATGGTTTAATTCTCTAAGCCCTGCCTGGGACATCAGCAAGCACCTGTTTTAGTGATTCCCATGAGATTCACAGACAAAACCCAGAAACACTTGATGGTATTTAAAATGCAACTGTGATCACTTTGGGGCTAGGATGAGACCTACTTTCCCTCTCAGGTTATCATCTGTGCCTGCAAGAAAACTGGGAAAGTATTTCCATCAGCAGTTTTGCTCTCTATATGTTAACGGTGAATGCAAGTATTAACACTTAGCTGGATGACTGATTTCTTAATTATTTCCCTGCATTGTGCTGCACTCAGATAATAAAGATTCAGCACCTGTATGTAACCTACCATACCCTGGTCTTGAGATGTGACTCAACCGTGCCCAGTAAACATAATAAATAACAATTTTTAAGAATGCAGGTACAGACTTCAGAGCAGCACTGGGGACTGCTGTAGAGCATCACCCTAAAGAGACAGCTCTCGAATCAGGGAATCACAACATTCAAAGATATGATGATTCACAGAAAAATAACATAGAGCTTTGTAACTGCCTTTTGCTCATACAGAGGAGTTCAAGCGTTGCCCAAATCTAGATTTCTATACTACGCAGATTAATTCTATTCTTTCCCTTGCCACTCAACATCTTCAAAAATCAAAAGCTTAACTCAGGATAATTTGAGCATCCTGACCACAAATTACTTTCTTTAGTTTCCCAAAGATGTTAATGAAACATATTTACTCAGCTGATTTTACTGTAACTCCTCTTAGTTGGGATGTGCACCTTATTGCCACATAGCTTTTAGAGTATTTCTAATTGACATATATGGGTGAAAAATCAGTGACCATGGAAAATTAACTGCAGTACACCTCATTTAGGTCTTAACTTCTTCTGTTTCCAAGCTAAAACACTACAATGCGGTTCCCATTAATGCCTGTATCTGAGAAGCTTTGACTGGAAAGAAAGTCAAGAAAGTTAGGCAGGACTTATCAAAATAATCTGTTTCCTTTTGAAG